CTTGTGGATTTTCATCTTTCAAACAGAACTTGCATTTTATATATTTCTGAAGCAGATTTGGTTGCAGGGGATGAATTCAAACGAAGATTGGTTCGGTTTAGAAATGTAAGTACTATGTAAAGAGAAAAGGAAAAGTTTTCAATTGATATTTGTTTATTCCATGCTTCTGAAAACATTCTTCCTGTGTTACTTTAAATTCTAGTGGAGCTAAACTTTTGTGATAATTTCCACCTGACAACTGGAAAATTACACAGCTGTGTAATAATAGGGTGTTAAACTTCAGTACTGTTCCTACAACTTCTGGTTCTTCCTCTGAATTTCTTTCAGGGAGCTCATACTTGACAGAAGTTTTCGCTCTGTTGTATTACATCAGCATGTCATTAACAAGGTCTTTTCTTCTTTTTTCCTTTCAATACAGGCCAACAGTCTTGGAGGAATTGTAATTGTGGAGAGAACCCAAATAAGTGATCAGTACTTCTTAGCAGTACAAAAGCTTGTTGTGCTAGAACTTGGAATGGTGTTGCTTCCTGTGGCAAATCAAGGAGAAGCTTCTCAACTTATTACTCAGCTAGTAAGTTTCTATGTCTAGTGGACAAACGTTTATTAAAGTATAGGACACCAGAAGAATTACCTGTTTTCCCACAATCATCATTCTTTTCAGAAAGAATACCTGTGATCTTAAAGGACCACAACATATTTTGTTGTTTGAATGTAGGGAATAAATATCTTGCAACACTAATATGGTAGTATAGTTCAGCGGAAAAGAGGGCTCATCTGGGAACAAAGGAAAAAAAGTTGAATGTGATACTGGATTTTTTTTAATGCGATCTTGCACTGAGATGCCACTGGATAGCGTTAGGCAATACTGAGTTAAGTTCTCTGTCAAAATTGACTTGAGATTTTGCTTTATCTCAGGCTGGGGAAACTGTGTTCTTATATTGTTTCTGTTTTCCTGATTGCATAAAAAAGATGACAAAATCATCGTTTTAATAAATGGTGGTATTAAGAAACTGTTGGTTTCCTAGTGAGACTTTGTGGATCTGCATCAAAACCCTTAATAAGGGCGCACACTTAGGGAGGGAGTTTGGTTTTAAAACTACGTAGTGGTTGCATTGAACTCTTTTGAGATGAAAAAACTATTTTAAAAACTAAAAGCAGAGCTCCAGCAGAGGGCACTCAGTGTCATTTACGGTTTTGTTTTGCTTCAGGTCCGTGAACAAAGTAAGGATCACAACAGTAACCCCTTTCTTCGTAAACAGTGTTCTCAGCTAGCAGAGCCGTCAGTGTTTCGGACGGTGCAGCAAATTCCAGGAGTTGGGAAAACAAAAGCTCTGCTTTTACTGCAACAGTTTGGAAGTATCCACCGGCTTTGTAACGCATCTGTCAAAGAGCTTGAGCTAATAGTTGGACAAACGGTAGCACAACAAATTTACACTTTTTTATGTTCCTGACATGCATATGTAGTGCTGTTTTGGAAAACAAAGACTTTTTGTTTGTTTCTTGTGAATTATAAAGTTTTCTTTTTAATAATCGCATTATGGTACTTTCTATAAACCTCCTAACAACTAGAGGGTGTTGACTAATTGTCTGGATATTACTCTGCCACTGCCTCTTTACAGCTGTTCTGCTCGTGTAGCTTGAGCTGTGAAAATTACTTTGGAAAGAGGGCTGTAAAGTGTTCTGCATCTATCTTGTGCAAAAACTGAGAAAGCTGTCTTTTTAAGTATCCACAGGAAAAAAATTGGAAAAACAATTTGCTTGCTTTTGTCTTCCAGAAATAATGGGTGGTGTTATATTATCCATAACTGGAAATGTGAGTTACAGTGCTTTAAAAAAGTTTGCACACATTGATTTGTAACTTCTTGGCATTCCTTTGGGAAGTCCTAGTTCTACTGGAATACATCTTTGACTTTAAACTGACTTATTACTCTGGCTCCTTTTTCAGTTCACAGGGTGTTATAAAATTTATTCTCTTGAGTCTAACAGCCAAAATCTTGGTTAGTTCATGTTGCACTTTTGAATATAGGTTGGGATAATTATAATCAATTACAGTGTATTTTGGCATACTATGAATTATAATGTATTGTTTTATAAATTATACAATAATGTATGCTATGAAGAAAATAATAGGGGAAGCTTTTATCAAAATTCATAATTCATCCTGTTCTTCCAGTATTAATCCTTTGAAAAGGTATTTGTAAAGAAGAGGATTGGCTTTCCTGATATAGAATCATAGAATCATTAAGGTTGGAAAAGACCTCCAAGATCATCAAGTCCAACCATCAACCCAACACCATTTTATTTTAAACTATGTTCTTATCCTATTTAGTAAGGGTAAAGTTGCCTTTTGCCTTATGTACCCATTAAGGAGGTGTGCAAAAAGCTTCTTTCATACTACTTGAGTTTTGGATCACAGCAGGAAGGCAGTTGAGCAAGATTTTCAACTCAGTTTTGTAAACTGGAGAGAAGTGAATAATAGAACCTTGGTAACTCTGTAACCACTCTCATCCACCGGTTAGCATGGACAGCAGCTAGACCTGTTATTTATTGATTCCTTACTTGGGATGAAAATGCACTTCTAATTTGGGCCTAAATATTTAATTTACTGAATAATGAACACAAGAATTTCCAAAACTACAGAACAAGATACTACTTTTTTACAACTAGGGAATGCTTAAGCTTCTTTCTAAATCTGTTTAGATTTTATTCCCTCTGCCAGACTTTGCACTTTGCTATGGAGACTGGATTTCACATCTAAAGGTATGTGGCTATCAATGGTGCAAGGCAAACATCTTTTTACTACTTCAGATAGCCATCTGTTCAGTACATTAAATAAAGTTCAATTAAAGTAGTAACAATTAGTACTAATGGGATTATAGGCTAAACTACTAATCCATTGCAAACTTTTATTTTTAGGGCTCTCTAGTAGCCCTATACATCCTTGGGGATAGAAACATGTTACAAGTATTCCTGTGGTCTAAGCAAGAATTTCACTGGCTATGAAGTTAGTATTTGCCTTAAGTTAGCTGTTGGCTACTGCTCAGCATAGAGTGAGTCTTTAGTTAGCTGACAGAAAATAGTGAGTATGTATTTGTATGGCACTTGAGAAGCCCAAATTTTGACTTCAGTTGGGGGCTGGAGGTTTAAATAAAGAGAGAACCCCACCCCATGCTTTCCTCAAGGACTAGTGAGCGTAATGATGGGAAGGAAGGGCAGTTAATCATGCAGCTAAGGCAGAAGATATTTGCAGGAAGACTATCAGAGTGGGCAAAGAGAAATTAAGAGCTGAAAGGGTGATTCATGTGACTTTGCTAAAGATTTCATTAGCTGGATAGTAATTTTAGCCATACAGGTAAAGTAAATCTCTTCTATATGGAATATTGTATGGCAGGGTCTTACATATCAGTATATGACTGCTGCTGCTTGTGTGGGCAAAAGAAGTGCTACTACAAATACACATGAAGAATAACTACTAAGGATAGGTGAGTTGAGTAATTTACCATTTTTTTAATGTAACCTTTATAAAGAAACTCTAGAAATATGCTAACACTCTTTGTAAGGAAGCAAGTTTTAGAATAGAATTTATAAGCTCCTGTATTATACAATATAAACTTTTAAGAAAGACCGTTTTAGATTTTTGTAAGCAACATTACAGAAACATGCAAGAGGTATGCCAGCAGTAAATAGTGAAAACCTGTAAATTATGTTGCATCATCTAAGCTGTGGCAGAATCAAAAAGCTACTACTAAATGGCAGCATCTGATTTTTATTCTTAAATAAGTGTCGTCAACATATTTACACCTATTACATAAACTAAAAATAAATGACAACTTTAAAGTTTACACTCAGACACAAACTTTCCCCTTATTTTAAGTTTTGAGTATCAAACAGCATATATCTACTCTGTAGATGGCTATGTTAACTAACACTACAGTGTTAGCAATTTTCAATTATTTTGACTTTCAGAAAATAGAATTTCAAAGAAATGCTCACAGTTATTTTTTATTCTCCCTCTAATATTTATAGCCAATACTTGCTCTTTAATTGTTCCAAGGGAGGAAGATGATTTTATATCATTTTTTTTTACTTGGTGTGAGAGTAAATAAATAGTCTGCCACTTAGACTTGCAAGCACTTATTTTTTTCATATTTTAAAGCATCACCACAATTTATGTACTCTTGATCAATACACTGGACTATGTCAGTTTTGAGACTTGTTCCACAGCTATCAATTTTATCAAGACTAACGAGATACAAGTCTTATGGTAAGTAGGTTAAATGATTTCAAGTTTGGAATAAAGCCTGTTTTTAACAATTGAATCAGCAGGCATTTAAAGTGTAACCTAGATCACAAAAAGGCCAGAGTAAAAGCCTTTTGTAGTTCAAAAGATCTTTTGACTTCTAAGCCTCCAAATTCTCTTCCAGAATTAACTATTCAGTAGAATGCATCTAGTACTCTCAGAAAGAGAATGTCTATGCATAGAAACCACAATTATATAACACTGCCTCTGGGCACAAGGCTAGTTTCTCTGAATAACTTTATTCTCTCTTGCTTGTGGTTTGTTAAGATAATTCTTTAAAATAGAGTTAAGTGATTATTTATTGACTCTAAACTTTTACAGCACAATTACACTTTAACTGTGTCCCCTGTTGTTTTGCATGCAGCATCAAGTTTGTAATAAATAAATCCCATCTATCATAGTTAAAAAAATTAGTCATCATACTGTATTTTGAAATTCCAAAGGAATCCAGTCCTCATGTAAGCAATTTCATCATCTACATCTTGTTATTGCATACCTCCCCAATCACTTCATTCTAACCTTCAAATGCTTAAGTTTTACAGTTTTTGCCAGCCTCTGACCTTCAGTGTCTCAATACACAGTAAATTAAGTCAATGGCATTTGTCTGAATTTATACATATGTATATAAAAAGATAAGTGATTAATACTTTTATATACATTTTAAAGAAAAATGTCATGTTAACCAATCCTTCTGAAAGATTCAGTACAATGAACTTTCCGTATTCAAAAGTGTGAAGGGAGAAAGCTTCTTCTTAATCTGAGAACTTCCAGCCACAGCTGAAGGCAGGCAGAGGGTGCTTGCAGCTTTCTGTCTATTTTTAGTTCCCCAACTTAGAAAAGGCAGTTTCAGTGGGGCTTTCTTGGTCTGATCAATCTTATCCTCTTCCATTGCTAAACAGATTAAGGAGTATGTCTTCTGCATTCCCACAGAATAAGTTGCACTCTTACTATGCTGTAGGACAAAGAGAAACATTATAAGAATCAGTCACGCAAAATGGGTCAAAATTTTGAAGATAACAAAAGGTTACTGTGCAAATAGTTTTCCAAAGCAGACTACAGCAAGCTTTCCGTGCTAATGACATACTAACTGAACACAAGGCCCTTCAGCATGCTGTGATTCTGGTATTTTGCCCATGTAGACTCCAGGGTATACCGTGCAAAGTGTAAAGGGACTTACAAATCTTTTCCATGGGCTGTGTTATAGTTAGCAGTTACTGGCTTCTAGCCTAACTATATGACATATACACTAAGCTCTCTACAAAGCTTAAGTATGTAGCTCTTGCGCAAATCTCTGAAGGGGAGTCTTTTTGCTGTCTTTGGACAGGTTCCATGTTGATTGCAAATATGACAAGAGCTACTGTAAGGACATTCTTTTGGGATACTTGAGAGGCACAGCCTTCTGTCTTGACTTAGCTGTGCCCTGAAGCAGTTTCATTATATTCTAGCCTTTTGTTTCCACTAACAGTTTGGAATGGCAGGTGTGAAATTCCTTATTTTCAATAAGGAAAATCAACTTAAACAAAACAAGAAAACCTAACAACAGTACAAGCACCTTGCTAACTTCTAAGGCAACAATACTTCAGTGCCTAAGCTTGCCAGGGAATGTTAGAAGCATGTAGCAGAGGATTTAACTGAACTACAGGTTCTCTCACACTACAAATAAGTTTAAGTTATTTAGAGCTTAACATTTTTTAATCTTGTGATCATTTTCCTTAGTCTAAAGCTTCTACAGCAGCTTAGTAACTGACTAGACAGTTAAAGTCCACCAAAATTAAAAATACATACATTAATACATGTTCTAATATAAAAGTTATGGATCATTTGTGTTAATAGTGCGTAGAAAATAAGCATGTGGTCTTGCATGTTCTATTGTTTCATTGTGGCTTTTCCAATGCTGAACAGGGTAATATTTTCATCCTCTGGGTTAAGTTAGGGGAAAATAAAATATGCCCTGGAATTTATAATGCAATTAATCTAAGTAGCTCCACTACAAAAAAACCTCACCACCCAAACATTCATATGCACACAGCCTGTTCTTTAGCTTGCTAAGTCACGATAATTTAAACAGACTGTTTGAAACTGAACACATGCCTGAATGCTTTATATATTCACTGGTGGAGTGGGATATCTGACTACATGAAAGTAAACATTAATCAGGGACTGAAGCCAGGAAAGTTTAAAAACCTCTCACATATCCAATCTGCAAAACATATTTGCCTCATTACATACCATAGAAGCTGCTGTATCCTGGCAACTGATAACCTCAATCTCAATGGGCTGCTCTCCCATGCTTTTGAATTTTTCTAGCACCTCGTTCACTCCAAGCCACTTGCAATCCATGTCACCGACTGAAACAATGTAGTCGCCTTCTTTTAGGCCCATCAACTGTCAAAAAATTTTGCACAGGTTATCATCTGGAATTAGAAGGATGTTTAAAATGTTTTTGTCATCATACAGTATCCACCCTAAAGGCACTTCCCTCTTAGATGCTATAAAACCATTGCCCAGCAGACATGTGGAAGGTAAGTGTATACATAACATAGGAACATGCAACTTTTTCAAGTACACAAATTACCTATTTGAGTTACCGTTGATAAATGTGATCCTGGCATACTCGAATACTTTTTATACTCAAACTCTTTTTATATCCTTTTCACTTTTCTCCTTAAGTAAATGCAACCTGTTTTTCACTACCCTATCATCCCTCATGAGAGGTTTTCTCCAGTTTTTACTTCTATTTCTTCAGTATTTTTATTTGTACTTCTCTGGTTGCTTCTGCCTTTCCTATAGCTAAACTGTGTTCATCACTGCATGCTGCTTTATCCCTTTGTTTTTTCCTTCCAAAAGAACAACATATTAAGCATATTAGAAACCAATAATATGTTCTTTCCCTTCTTTCTGCTTGGGCACACACTACCTTGCCTTCCCTTCCTGATCCTCATCCTTATTGTTGTTGCAACTTTCTAAAGCCTTTATCCCTTCTAACTTCCTGAATTAGATGGGGAATAACATTTGCTTTTATTATTTAGGACTTTTCATCTACTAAGTGCAAATAGAGGAAGAAATCAATCAACTCTAGTTTAGTGTGATGTCAAGGATACTGATACTCTAACATCTTAGGTGTATATAGCACTGAAAACACATTCACATTATTTGAATTGACTATACTGATGTATAGTAGGACTCGATAAATACTCCATACATCAGTATGAGCAAGCTAAAGTTACATTTAAAAGATTGTAATGCTAAAGTCTGGAGATAAATTGTTAATATTACACCAATGTACTTACTGCTGCAGAACAAACTGGATCAAGACAATAAATCTGTACTGGTGAACCTCCTTTAAGACTGAATCCTAGCTCTCCTTCATGGTGGATGCGAATGGTACGTGGAGCCGTCCATCTCTGCTTGGCTGAGAACACTGTCAGTGGGCCCTGGAGATAACATAGCAGCAGGCACATTATCATTTACTGTCATTCGTAAGTAAGCATTTCTATTTTTTCAAGGTACAATGCTTTAAGCTCATCTTATGTAGGTTTCACTCAGGTGAACTTCCAGCTACTTCCATTGAAATTAAACAGTGAGATTTATCCCAGAAATTTAAGATATCCCCTGAAGTGCTCAGCCCTACTTCACAACTGTTCAGGTGATACTTCAAAACAGAGTGAGATGAGAGCAAATGCCAAATTGTTCTGAGGTCTCTGTTAAGGTGTGCAGAAGCTTTTGGCTGCAGCAGGCTCTAAGGTCCTATATTACTCTATTTTGGAGGAGATAAATTGATTCCTGAAAGATTGCATATTCTGATCCTAACTGTAGCTCCCAGTTCCCTTTGCCCACCATTACACACAGAGCCACCTGAAAGACTGGCTTTGTAGCACACAACATTACACATTCTGCATGTCCATCTCCAAGTACTACATGTTTCTCCCGGCCTTTAAGTTGTATGCAATTATCTGTTGAAACTTCATGGGACTTTTATGAAGGTTATCAAGAATTAATGTTGTGCAAAGCCATATACAAATGGCACTTTTATTCTTTGCTAGTCTCAAGTTGACTTATACCTCTGAAGCTAGGAGTTATCTTTCCAATAACTTCCAAAAAAACCCCCAGTTACTACAGGATCATTTTTTCAGGCTAAAATACTTGTGTCCCTTCCTTCACATTAAGAGTGAATTTATACTTCCTAGCAAAATGACAGGGGTTGGTTGGCATTAGCATGTTACGTACCAGTCTGTGAAAAAAGTCTTTAATTTTCACCTTGGAAAACTGAGGAGTGATTGTTTCTATTTTGTGCTCTGTTTTAGCTAAAACAAAAACACAAACAAGTTAATTTTCTCTCAAGTATTAAGGAACATATGTATTTTTCTTGCATTCCAAGCTAGATAGAAATTTCTCCAAAGTTCTTACCAGGCTGTAGAAAAACCTCATTTTTCTGGAAATTTGTAAGACAAGTAAGTATCTGAATTGCCTTAAAAATATCTTCAGAGCTCATAGTATCAATACAGAAAACTTAAAATAATCCATCCAAACAAAACTATGCTATTCTCCTCTTTAATTTGTTTTTCTTTGAGAAATATATTAAACCAGCACTCATTCTTTCCCACTGCTTCCAAAGAGGAAAAAGTTTGGTGAGCTGGACTAAGATAGGAGGAAGCAATAGCAGTCAAATTGAGTTGACAACTTAGACCGCTCTAAGAATTGTGCTACAAGAAAGAGTTATTAGTTTTCCCTCTTATGATTTCAGTTTTTAAAGTTCCCCCATTTTTTTCTAGCTCACAAGATAGTCACCAAAAAAAAGCTGAGTTCTAAATAATAACCATTGTTATCTACTCCAGAAAATTATGTGACCAGAGACAGACACACTGTAAAGCAGCTGTCACAAAATTAATTTATCTGTGGTTGAGGAAACATGTAAGGAATCTGAACTCAAGTGTACAGTACATAACTTGTACACTATTTATATTATGTATGGATGCACATAATATATGTATACATAAGTATAAAATAAAGGCATATCCCCATAAAAGCATATACATGGATGGTTAGACACCCTTTATTTCTAGCTATGTGTACTTACGAAGGATATCTGGAGCCTGGATTAGACTGAGAAAGTCATCTTCTGTCTCTTGCTGAGCATATTTGAGAAGTGAGCGCTTATGTGCAGCTGTCAGAACCTCCTGAAGAACATCAATGTTTCGAAGCTTTTTGCACAAGCCACAGACTCTTAGAGCTTCTTCATGGTAAACAACAGCTTTGCGTAAATGTGCTTTCCCTGAAAAAAATTAGAAACTGTTGGTTGCCCTCCACAGACAGTAAATACGAGGTAATTTTCGAATTGTACCTACTAGTGGGGTGAAACTGGCAGTTACCTAATTGTTTTCTCTGAACTTTGTCCTTTAAAATGGTGAGAACCATCAGTCCTTCAGGCATGCAGTCATACAACTGGGACAAGGCTTTCTCCTGTTGGTCTTCATCGTCACTAGACTGCACTATAATAATTGATAAAGAACATTAACCATTACACACCTCTTGGTGCCCTGTTTCTTTAGGTGGTTGTTGAGTAATTATTACTACGTTCTCTCCAAATGCAGTCAAATATTTTTTACACATATATATTGATGAGAATTTCCAGTTTTTAAGACTTATTATCATCTGTAGTATGCAAGTAATACTCCTATGGCAGAACATGTTGACAAGAATTGAACAATTTAGTAGCATATAAGAGATACAATATTTCTTCTGTTTCTGAAAAAGTTAGTTTATTGAACTTTCACATTCTTCTGTAAAGGACAAAAAAGCATGGCCTCGTATCTGACTGGGAAGATGGCCACAAATGAACATATATTGAAGCCCTGAAGTTCCTGGCTCCTAGTCATATTCATAGACTAAATTATAACCATTTGTGTCTTTATTCTTGTTATTTATATGAATATATAGAAAATGTATGATTCTTACATTCATGGTCACACAGAATGGTGGCAATGAAGTAATGTGCCAGAGCCTTATAATGGTCTGACTTTATTTGTGCCAGTTTAGACCAGGAATAAGGGATATTCTCTTTCACTGGTTCCTGATTCATTGCAGCGTTAACCAACATGTAAACCTCTCCCACCTAAAATAAAGCACAGAATTGAAATATGAGAATTTAACATTGGTTATTTGGAGCTCAAGTAAGGGATACTATATTCAGCCTTAAGATAATTTCATGTACGTCACATCAAAGACAGGGTGGGGAAAAAAGGAGGGTTAGAAAGGGTTGGAAATAAGTTTTGAGAAAATTTGAAATTCAATTTCTGATTTTTCCCTTAAAAGAAAAGTGAATCAATTTTGTACAAGAACAGATGGACTAAGTCAGTCAATCTGTATGGCTTCAGAGTTCAATAAAAACACCATATAATAAACAGGTTTTAATTTACAAATACAACTCATTGGGTTAATTCAGCTGAGAAAAAAGGTGAAGCATATTACTTATACAGTAGGTTTGTGCTTCACTTCTGAAACTGTGCAGTCATATCTAGTCTTATGTTTGTGTGGTCTAGTTAAAACTGAGCTACTATCCTTTATGCAGAGGAAATAAAATACCTTTTCAAGCAGTGAATGCTGCTTTAATGGATCAAACAACTCCACCTGACAGAATCCAGAAATCTTTCCCCTGCAGCTGATCAATCCTACAGATAAGTCAGGGTGGCTTTACCAGGTTGGTAGAAAAGGCTTTGCCCATTTGTTTAGTATGGAACCAATTATATATCTGCTACTCTGAAATGGCTCAGAAAGCATATTCATGTCTTGTTGGCATACCCAGTTTTTGATGTCAAGTATGAACTGGCACAGCCTGCCTCTCCATTTTTCAAGCAAGTCCCAAGGCAGCTCTGCAGCTACCCATCTGACTCTGCTCGGCAGGGTCCTTCCCCCAGTTACAATTTAGTTATTTTTTTGGACTTAAGCTTTTTAGGTTTGCATAACCTCCAGATGCTGGGAAATAACAGACAAGTTGTGTTCAATACTTAACAGACATTTAAAAGGACACAAACAACTCCGTCCTTTTGTATGTTGCTCTGTGGACAAGATCTGTACTGTTTGAAAGAGCAATATGATAAGTAACTTGTAAAAACCTTTGGCAAGTTCACTGCCCAAGTGTTCCAGCATGCTTCTAATAAACTTAATGAATTATGAATTAAAAAAAAAAATCATAACAGTTCTGAAATAATATTTAGATTGCAGCTATTCACATTTTGATCTTCTGAAAGTAGTGATTCTCATTGTAGTTTGTGAGCTGTCCCTTGTTACTTTTGGTTTTCAGTAACGGTTGTTAACAATTTAGGTTTAATAAATTTTGTTAATATTACTAGAGGCTGTAACTAGTAACACAGCAGTGTAAACAGTTAAAGACTAATATTGAAGTCTCGTATTTTACCTTGGCAACTTCCTGTGTCATTTTCACTAGTGTGAAAAACTCATTGCGTATTCCAGGAAGACCAATCTGCTCAAAAACACACTCTTGAGCTTGTGCAAGCATCATTTTTACTAGCACGTTCAGCATAGCTGGGCTCATATCATAACTTGGTGTGTGAGTAAAGGTCTCCTTTAAGTAGCTTAGGACTCCTGAAATTACAAAATGGTTTTGTCAGCATTACAAAGAGAGAAACAAGTGAACTAAATCCTAGCATGTATCATAATAATTAAGACTGAAAGCATACTTTCTAGTATTGTACTACAGCAATCTGAAGGGATTATTAGTACACATGAAATTAAACTGACCTACAGGTTTTGCTCTGCATTCCCATCAAACATCTCCAGGCACAGTTCTCAAAATTACAATCCAGAGGAGCAACAGAAGCTGCAAGTTTTAAGGGCAATACCTTCAGATTTGCTTATAACAGTTCTTTTGATTGACCATAAAGCTGTGCTGAACTGAATGTGACTCGTATATGCAAGTGGTAGGCTAGGGCTTATACATAGGACAAGAAAGAAAAAGAAATCTATACAACTATAGGGAGGTGACCGTAGAACCGTTGGATGGAAGAAAAAAACCACAAACATATAAACTTAATTAATTATGAATCTTCTTTTCAGATGCTGCTAAGTGCATTGTGTGTCCCAAAGAAAGCTCAGTTCCATCCTAGTAAGTAAACTAGAACAGTATATTTAATAGCATAAAATTAAATTCTGCTCTAGACATTTGGTTCTACCAAAATATTAATTGTTTCTATCATATATTAAATTAAAACCAAACACTAACTGTAGTGAAAATATTAAGTAACAGTTTCACGGATAAGTGAAATGACTTATGCACTTCAGCGTGCATGTCATCCAACTGGTTTAGTGAGTTCTACTAGCCTGCTAATTGCTACAGAAGTATAATGATAAGACCTCTGCTTTTTAAGTGTCCCAGCTTCTGTAATCTTACTTACTGCCACTACATTCAGTTCTGGCCATGTTGTGCTGTATTTTCCTACTACCAGGTTCTGAGATTTTTCATTTTCCATGTTACATTTGTATCTTTTAAAGTTATTAATACACCCTTACACAAACTTGAATTATGACCATCTCTGCCTTTTTGCACCAAAAAAAACAACCTCAAACTTGCCAGGCACATCCCAAGTACTGATGGCGTACCCTACTGAAAGGAACTGAAAGTAGAGGGAGAAGAAAAAAAATTTTTTTTTATATTTCTGCTTATGTGGTAAGCATATACACACTGAGAGCTTTGTTGAGGATAAACTCCATGAAACGTTTTCCATTCAGCACAGAGAAATAGTTAATACATGCTCTATATCATGTCTCTACCAACATAATGAACAGTGTTACGGAGCCATGCACAGGTACAATGAAATGCCTCCTGAGCATGTTGCTTTGGGGCCCTGCAAAGGTACTGTGGTAGCAAATGATGCATTTCAATTTGTGAATTAATTCTGTTCTGCAAATACGTTGAAGTGGAAAGCAGTGATTTTTTTTACTTGCAAAATAGAAGGAGCAGCAGCAAAATGGAGAAATTTCTCAAGTATTGAAATTTCTTTTACATTAAATACAAAGGTTGAAAAGCAATTTATTTAATAAATGCATGAAGAGGTACTATAAATTTTTTTTTATAGCTGTGTATTCAAAAGAGTTTTTATGACAAACCAACTCCGTGGCCCACAGTTTGTCTCTGATAAAGCTACCCATACAGTAGAAACCAATAGCTACGGATTGTTAGTGCAGAAATAAATCTCACAGTACATATTAATTACATAGGTAATGTCTAAGCATTATGTGTAGTACAGGTGACGTTTACAAAAAAAATTAGAAAAATCTACTTAGGAAAAAAACCCAACCAAACCAAAACCAAAAGCTTCTATAACATGTTAGTTTAAGGGATGTAATTCCCTTTATTAGAATTTGTACTTTTCTTCACTTCGGATAGAGATTGATTATTTTGGACCTGTTTGCCTTTGGAATCTATGGAAAATATGCAGTCAACTTCCAGTGAATTGCAAATTTCACCAGAGAACATATAAGATTAATTTTAAGAGAGCATATGGAAAACTAGGTTTTAAGCCCTTTATCAACCCTTTAAATTTTTTCTTGTACAGATTTTACACTAATGTAATATCACTGAGACAAAAGCAGCTATGTTGGTGAAACAAAGAATGAACAATGAAGCAGTTAACGTTGGAGCTATTACTCAGACCTTTGAACAGCAGTTCATTAATCATTAACCACAGTATTCACTGTCTTTATCTGCACATTTCAGACTACAGTTACAGGTTTTGAATTAAAGCTTCACCTTAGCTCTTCACTAGGCTTCTTGAATTTCCCTATTCCTCCTTTCTTGTGTAATGGAGTCAGTGGGAAATGCAAAAATCTGCAGGATGTCAGGATGAGATTAGGAACATTTGCATAAAGACCGTCCCAGTATTTTTTAAATTTGTACCTGCAGCTCTCTGAAAAGCATCAACAGCATTTTCAAGTCCAGCCTGGGTCTGACGATTGCATCTTGTTCCAATCTGGGTGTAGAGGGCTCCAATGTTGAATAAGATACTAGCTTTTTCAAGCAACAGATTTTGCTGACACACCGGGACACCTGTGAAGGAATCATACCTTAGGAAACAAATATTAGAAGAAGTGTTAACATTAGCTGAGTCCATTGAAACAACAGATATTTTCATTCTGTTTTTCTAAAAGAGCAGTGTAATTCTTAATAATTGTTCTGGTACAGTGAAAATGAAGGTGAATAAAAATACAATTATGTACTGCATAGGTACTGCAAGACAGAGGACAGCTTTATTTTGAGGCTTAATTTTCAACAGTTTTTACAGCAGTGCCTCCATAAGCATATTATATCTAACTCAAAAGTGCCTATAAAATATCACAGAGGCTGAGAGTATACTGGGGAAGTATCCATATGTGCTGCTATGTTCTTGTACTTAGATGTTGCCAAAGATCAGCTATTGGCATGGTCAGATTCTCTATAGCTTGTATTTTAAAGTTTCTATTTGCACTTAGGACTAGAAATATAATAGTTCCTCCTGGCTGCATGGTAGCCATCTTTTTTTCATCTTAAAAATAAAAAAATCTGAATTCAGAGTCAAATTTTGCTCATAAATGTAGTAAACACTCCCCTATAATAAATTAAGTCACTTCTCCCTTCTGGCCCAAATGCTCCTATTAAATTGAAGGAGGGGAATTAAGGTCTAACCCATTCCTCATCTGGTTCGTGCACTAAGATTGAGAGTCCAGGAAACATACGCAGCTGTGCAAAATGAAGATTATTTTCTCTCTTTTTCCCTTGTGCTAACCTGTAGCCCAAATCTTAACCTAGGCAAAGGCTTCACTGAAAAGGGTATATTGTACTCAGGTTTACTCTTAACAATAAAAAAAAATTTGACATCACACACTGCAGGGAGTTGGGGGGGAACACTGACATGCTTCAAATTAAACAGAAGACAGTTAATGATTAACAGTGTTCTGAAAAAAAAAAAAAGACAAAAGACAAACATCAACTACACACTTACCATGTAAATAAAACTCCCATGTGCCTGTTGGGTGGAAAAAATCTGTTCTCTACATAACCAAGTTGAAGGAAATAGCTTATCAACATCTCAATGCCAGCTTCATCTCGGCTAGGAGTGCGGCAGGCCTTAAAATACAATAGATTAAAATAAAGTGTATTCTGTTGCATTACAGAATGAATACAGAAACACCAAGGACAAAGCTCTGCTTCCTTTAGACTTCTGCATATCATAGAAATGTGTGGAAACTGAGAACAGTAAGCTTAAGGCCATGTGGATGCATTCCAAATAAGAATTTTTCAGCTGCACAGAAGTAGCACATAGCCTTTAAGGGAAGCAAGGAGGATCTGTTTGGCAAGTCTCAGAGTTAATTAAATAAAGATTGTAGGTATTTTATGAAAAACACAAAGAAACTTTATGTTTACAGTATAATACAGGAAACAAACAATAGTTAGAAATAACGACCATTCTACTACAAACTTTTGCCAAATGCATTCACTTCAACACTCTTCCTGCTAAATTTAAAATACTTTAAAAAAAGTAGATAAGACAAATCGTAGATTTACAAAGTTGTGTCAACAACTCAATCACTTTGCATAAATTCATCCCTTTCTTTACTTGTTCTTTACTCAGATAATAAAGCTCTTGGACAATGGAGATTTACATTCCGTATCTCAGAAGTGAAGTCAATAAGAATATGGTAAGTTATAAGTAATAGCAGCATATTCTGATTCCATACAAATGTTCTTATTTATAACTGTGGATTAAAAGACCTTATGGTATGCCATACTTGAACTTACTTGTCTCAGATCCATGAGATCTGCTATTTCATCTTCATACTCAGAACTGTCTACACTATAGTGTTCCAGAATAAAGTCCTTAAAAAAAAAAAAAAAGTAAAAAATTGGGATAGCTAAAGTTAACCTAAACTATTCATTCATTTTTTTCTGCAGTGGCAAACCGTACAAAATTGATTCAGTTGTGATTTGCATGTTGTCTACTCCCCTCCAGTCAATAGTATAGTAATATATAGCAATGAGACTACAAAAAGACAATAGAACTAATAATTTGATTTGATAACCAAGACAAGAAATTTCATTTTGGTGTAAAGGGACTGAACACCTCTTATATCAACTCCATTGGGTTTTAAAACAACAACACTTAATGGTTTTGAACCCTGTTAGCTAAAATAACAAGGGAATCAAATGACCATAAAAACTTGTTAACAGAAAGAGACTGACAAATTCTCGTCAGCTATATTAGTGCAATTCCACTTAAACTAACAAGGCTGCAATGGCATGAAGTGGTACCATAATCTCATCATGGAGATTAACCTACAGAAATAAAAGCAGAGACAAATGCTATGGTGATATAAGATGGTTTATCATGAGATAAAATCTACATTGCACAATGCACAGTAGTCAAAAAAATACAGAACGTGGCTCAAATAGCCAGCAAGTTATATTAGCCAGCAAACAAGCAGTGTTAATGCTGCAGCACTGCTTCCCAACTGAGCTATCTTGGTTAGTGCAAGTTGGAGTATCACTGCATTATGCTGAGTAAAACCTTCATTACTACTTCCTTTCACACAGAGTAGTAATCAATAGTCTTACTGAAACCAAAAGCTGTAGAAGTAATTTTTATTCTCTTTGGTGTAACTCTACTGTCTCCAAAGTGGGACATCTTCTGACTCCATGTCCTAGTTAGATATGAGCAATGACCCAAATAGTTGGTGGTTAATTTTTAACACATTGTGATCTCAGTTTTAGGACAAATAAAACAAAAAATAATTTGTACATAAATTACTTAGGCTTCTTTAAACAAATCTGAAATGGAAGTTCTTTCTGTTAACCATTCTGAAATGTGTCCCTGAAATTTACCTTGAGAGGGAGTGTAAAGTCTACTTCTTTGGTTTCCTTCAGGCCAAGAGGTACCAAGGGAATGCTGAAAGCCTCTCTATGGAAAAAAACCAAAAATATTCAGAAATATTTCTTTTCTGTTTGTATGTTGATAATTACTTTTGCTTCATTTGATGACAGAAATTTAGCATGCTGATGGGTCTTCAGGTAAAAGGTGCATAGTTTATCATAGTTCCTTCCTGCCCAAGAAAGTCTGCTTAATGGCCTGTGACTCCTCAAGAAGAGAGTAAAGCAAGCTACTTGCCTGTGCTTTTTTTTTTTTTTTTTAATTTGAGCCTATTTTTCCTTCAAGGAAAGAAAAGGAGACTCTAAAAGGATGGCTTGCTGCAATTTAGCTCCACCTTTGTACACCCACACAAGTCATATGGACAGCTCCACAGCTGCTCGGAGATCTGCTATGGTAAGAGCTCTGTAGTTATCATCAGTATTTTACATGCTACCAATGGTTTCATATGTAGAAGTGATGTGTGTAACACAGGGAAAGGCAGGGACAAAGTATACTAATTTTAACAGTGAAAGGTATAGCAGTAGGAAGTCTGAGAACTACTTAGTTTCTAGACAATGCTAGGTGTTAACCTCTAAACAAGTCAATCTCTAAAATATCAAAAGGCAGTAAGGATGAGAACTGTGACTTAAAAAAAAAAAAACCCTGATCCTCAAGAGAATACAGAGTGGTATCACGGACTTAAACCCAAATCATATTAGTAAACAACGCTAGCTAATAAGAAAGTATGATGAGCTGAAGAGCACCATTCATCCCTCAAAAGGTACATATATTGCTCTTCCACTAAGCATATTATCCAATTATAAAAAAGAAACATCAGAATTGCTTCCAGGTATTTTGTTGAGTAGGTTCAGATCAGCAGATCAGTATTGCAGTATTGGGCAATTATAAGGTATATCTGATATTTTCATTTTTCCTGAAAACAACCGATTGACTGTCTAAGCATTGTTTAGAGCATTTAATTACCAACTACAAAATCTCACGAGTGTGATTCATTTATGGTCTTATCAATGCCAGCAAAATCACTTTCTTACTGGTGAAAATTCCATCTTGGGAAGGTGGGAGTAGGAGTGCAGCTTCCACAGCTGAGGAAGAGTCCTTAAACTGGATGGCACGATCCAGAAAGTGGCTCTGCTACCTTGAAAAGGACTTCCAGGACACAGAGCCAAAACACCACTGCAGGTAGCACAAATGATCTGATTTCTGATGAGGCTTTTAGAAGAAACCACAATGCTTTTACAACAGATTATATCAAGACTTTTTCCCCAAACGGAATTGAGACATGCAAAAGAAATCCTAACTTACTGATTTAATGAATTTTAGCACCACCCACAGTCCCTGTAGACATCAGCATTTGTCATTCAAAGGAACTGAATTTCTATTTTTTACATTTCTAAGGTGCCACACCCATGGAGTCAACATCATGAGGGCACCAAACAGTTAGGGAGGTGATCCTGGATTTCCAGAACGGAGTAGAAATAGTGTCATGCTTCTCTGTCCCACTGAGATGTGTGCAAGTACTGGGAAGGCCAACCCTTCAGACTGGTGTAACACAATACAGTGTAACCTAGTAATATGGGTGTGACCTCATGTTGATGACTAAATGCACAATAGATTCAGAGAGCAACTATTAATAGCTATTTGCTATTAAAGGCTGGAGAGCACTTACAGAGGGAGTGAATTATTTTAGTTGATGGAACTTAAAAAGCATTTAGAGCTTAGAATGAACAGCATCAGAAAGGTAAAACACCATTCAAAACAGACTGGGGATCAGGATCAGGGGAGAACAAAAAGCATACTACTTTGTCCAGCTGCAAGGCTTCTATCTGCCTTGGGGCCTGACCTACTGCTCACCCTTCATTGAGAATCCAAATATTTCAAATATTTTTCAGCTAGAAGAAGGAATAGTACTTCTGGAGTCTTGCTCTCATTTCCACAGTCATAACTTTCATACTGTTCTCTATGGTCACATGCATCTATGAAGACTGATAAAATCTTGAACGAAACATTTTTGCATGAAATAGTTGTCAAATTTTGCCATGGAGGTGGAGGGCAGGAACTTTAGCACAAGTTTGTTTTTGAGAAAAACTAAATGTAGATATTTTGCAGGTCAGCATTCAGTTGAAAGGTACCCCACCAGAAATGTGCTTAGTCCCTCCACGTTAAGAATTCTTTGTAGCCCACCTGAAGTTAACACCTAACTCAGAACAGTGCTAAGAGAACCAAAATTATACTCTCCTCATATGAAGCACTTGAATTTGTATCTTGAGCTGCTAATGTTAATGAAATAGTAAACATTTAGTTCTACGAGCAACAAGACATTTAACTGGTACAGAAATCATTGCAGTATTCAGGCAATGAATAATCTTTGACTTTTATCTTTGAGGAATCTGTTGCAATTTGAAGTTTAGTATGCTCCTCAAAATTGGAAAAATATCTTGGAACAATTCCAACCTCACCTACTAAAGACTTCTCTGGTTTAGCCAGCTAATTTATGGATTTCTATCATTGAAGTGCACACCTTAAAGACTACCTCAAGTCTGCTTTGAGCTCCAAATCAGCGTTGTGCTTTTATTCTCCAGCTAAAGAGAAGACTGTTGTATGCACTGCATTTCAGATATTCTATCACTAGGTTTGCTCACTCCAGAATGCACTGAATCAATTAGCCATCCTAGTACTGGAAATTCTGCTAGGTGCCATGTGTCTCCCCATAAAGCCCCAAGAGCTTTCAATTCTCACAGTACTCTCCTCCATGAAGGAACTCCATATCTAAGGATTAGTGGTACATACCTTTCCCAAGTGAAAGACAAATACACAGACTAACCCTTAGTCAACAAATCTACCGTCAAGTATGTTCTCTTCCTATCAAGCTCTCTGTTCTTTCACGTAATTATTGCCCAGCATTCACATTCACCAAGAAACAATTTTGTTTACAAGGGTAAAGAGAAGATCTGTTAATAACTGCGTAACTCAGCTTTACACTTACTCTGTATTTTGATAAACTTCTACTGAAATATTAAGTCCTTCCAATTCCTCTTTTAAGATCTGCAGATCTGAGTTTACAAAACTTAGTTCCAGTAGTACCTGCTCTCGTACTTTGTTGTTGGTGGTTGCTCTGCAGAAAGAAAGAGACATTTTTTATTGCTGAGGAAAAGGTTTTGTAAATAAGCTTGGTTGACCCCCTTGCTAACATTCTAAGCATTTTTAAGATTCCCCCCCCCCAAGAGATGGAGATCATCTCTTAAGGCCTCATGTTTCAGAATTTATTAGGTTTTTCTGTCAAGAGAGAGCCTGTGATAGTTTCCAGATAACAGCACACGGACACATAGAAGGTTTGCTATGTGCTAAATTTTTGTGTGTGATTAAGGGTCAGACTTATTTTCAGGTACATTAAATCAAAAAAACTAAAGCATCTTAAAACAGATTCACTATCCTGTTTTCAGATTATGTGATATGAGGGTGCAGGTGGGGAAGAGTCAGGAAATTTTTTTTGCAAGAGAGACTTTCCCACTTTATAAATTCAGTAATTATCTGTTGAGACTTCTGATCTTAAGAATAAAAGTAAACAACTTTCCCATAAAACTCTTACTACAAAATGTTTTACAACCAGACATATAGGTAGAAGGATATTTCTTTTTAATACAATAAAATTTTCTCTATATTTATTTTGTTGGATGCAAGTAGGATTTTTTTGTTTGCTTGTTTCCTTTGTTGTTTATATATTTACATGACAATGTTTGGAACTGCTAGTACAGTGGATGTTAGTATTTAGTCCCCCAGAGCATTTATGTGGGATTTCTTCTTTCTGTATTTCAGGATATTATATCACTGTTTCTAACCTGATTCTCCATACAGTATTACTGTTTTCAAGAGACTTAAACTGTTATTTATAACCACAGGTGCAAGTTTAAGATAAAAGGCCTTCATCCATATCCAGGCTTAAGATATTGTACCCATGTATTAGGGAGTCCAAATCATTAGACAATAACAAACTTAAGTTTGCAGCATTTTGTGTTTACCTTTATTTTAAGAAAAAATTCACCTCCATAAATATTTATGAACAACCCCCTCATACATCTAGACTCCACTTGGAACAATCTCCCAATTTTATGGAGCACCTTGGTGAAGCACTAATTATTCCAAGGCTAAAATTCTAAGCTTGTTCTTCATATTATAAATATGCGTTATCTGTGAATCTTCTATGCTGTACTTTATTGAATACCTGAGATTGCTTAGATTAAGCAATGTTAACATCTGCCTGCATAAGCCAAACTGGACAAAATTATAGGGTGGAGTGGATCTTCCTTGATACAGGCAGCACCACATAGATAACTGGGTGAGCTTTGATGCCAGCAGCAATTTAATTACGGTGTTATTAAGGCTCCATGTTTGGTCTAGCTTACCATCCTCCACAGCGGGGATTCTAATATCTTTCTCAGAAACCCCAACGTTCCATGCAGGTGAACTTCTGTACTATGGCTGTATTGGTCTCAATGTCCATGCCAATTTAGAGTTAACTTGATTACCTTTTCATGTGGTTGCACTGTAGACATACTTTATAGTGACAAACAGCAAAAGACAGCAACAGACAGCACCAGGGACAATGTGATATCCTTGAGATCCACATAACTCTACTCTGAATTCAGTTTTAACTCAGAACTTCCAGAACAAAAGAAAAGGAGAGGGTGACTTTCAGAAGTTCTAAAAACAAAAGTCTTTGCACTATATGGATCATTTGTTTCAAGCCTAGCATTCACTTTCAGCCAAAAGTAAAGCAAAGCATTTCCATTTTTTTTTCTCAAGTCCTATTGCAGGAGGCTTCTTGTGGACAGCAATTAGTTTGCTTCTTTTAGAACTTGATGAAATGCAGATAGAATCTGAAAACATAACGCTTATTTATGTTTTTCCTTAGGATACTGTAAATACATCTAGTCATGTGAACTATCCAGTGGTCAGGTTACTTTTAAAATTGCTTCTTTCAAAGAACTATCAAGTTTTAATAGTCTAACAGGTGTAAATTCATTTTAGGTTTTTAAGAACTTTAAAATAAGTCTGATTCTCTACTCTTCAAATAGGCTTAGTTCCCACTCTTGTCAATAGTAACTTCGTATTTCAGCAGTGAATGTTGGTATCAGGAGACGAACTTTAGGACATATTTAGGTTCAATGTTAGAGTAACCAGCGTTCACATTAGGTATTATTCGTCTCTTTAGGCTTTCCAAAACACTCCTGAGTTGGAATGCAGAAACATGTACTGAATGAACACTGTTTAGTTTCAAAAGCAGATAAAAGGAATTTTGCTATGCAAAGGTAGCACAAGACCCTAAGTCTTACTCCTTAAGTCAATTACCAGAAAACAAAGCAAAATGTAGCCAGTCACAAGGGCTGAAACTACATAAGCTTAGGATGTAGGCAGGATAAAGGCAGGTGACAGGCAAAGGGCAACTTCTCAATTAATGGCAAGTTTAAGAAAAGTGAATTTATCCAAGCATTTTCACTTCTCTAAGAGAAGTATATTGGCTAGATTTTTGTTCTCGGAGACCCATTGTTCATCCAGTTGCACAGAAACAGACACTATAGGACACTTGGGGAATTGGGGAAATTTTCAGTTCTTCTGTGTAACAGAGGGATAGACTGTTGGAAAGCTACGGGACTGTTTACTAATCAGTTAATCAAAGGATGTAATGGCCTCAAGACAGGGTCAACATAAGGCTATTCCTATTGGGACAGTCATGTAAGAAACTGTGTCATTAAAAAAAAAAAAAAAGGTGGACAAAATATAATAGATAAAAGGGCAAAGTCTCTTCCAGTTACCCCAGACTGTAGGAGAATTTGGTGGGAACTATAACCCAGCTCAAATTACATGTGTGCTATGCTGCTCCTCCTATATCACTATTCATGGAATAAATAAGGCAACTCATGGTCCTTTCCACTGCGGAGCACAGATCTAAAGAATCTTGGAAAAAGCAACAGTATAGTGATAATACCTTTATTTGATTTAAGGTGTTAAAAAGACTCATTACAATATTCAGCAAGGTTCACTTGCCATTATCATTAGCAATAAAGCTGATCAAACAGAGCAACATAAGATAGTCTAACGCTCAGCTCGTTTGCTACAACATAGCAGCTTTGAAAGTGCACTTCATAGCAGGTAATGACTCTATAGAGCTACAGAACTAAAAAAACTTCAGGGATATTCACAAAGCATCCAGCAGTAATTTATGCAGCATGCTAAGGGAGTCATTAAGCAGAATGGGAAAAAGCAATAGCTAAGAGACTTTTAACATACAATTTTGTTGTTCAGGCAAGAGAACTAAGAAGTCATGACACATACCTTAAAAGATTTTCAGCACCAGCTCTCATTCTTACTGCTTTTAAGATCTGTTGGTTTAGGACAGCTCTTTGATTTTGCAGTTTGCTTCGACCAGTCTCAGCAAGAGGATTACATCCCTAGAATTAAGGAAAAGAGGGTTTTTTGTTGCTGTTGGAAGAGACTCTAAAAATGGAGTAACACTGAATTTGAATGAACTTTAATGGCATGTGTTTTGTATGACTACAAATTAATTACATTGACATCAGTGACAGAGCTTCTTTTCTCAAACTTGGTCATTAAAAGCAGAAGAGACACCAGGACCAAAGCATTTGACATTAAAATCCAGGCAGAAAATAGTCGCTTTAAAGCTTATGCACATGTGTGAGCCAGTCTGTTCTCCCCTAAAAATCTTTTGAAGCTATTTTCCAACTACAATAAAATTTGACAGACTGTTAAGCTTCTACAGGTTTCATAAAAACAGAAGGCAAGGCAGTAACTCCTATCAAAGCTTCTGATTAATCTTTTCAAAATATCAGAGTTCCATACTGGGATATATGCAGCTTTGAAATACAACTCTATCAGAAAACAGGCTTCCGGGGTACCACTGCTCACCGTTTTAAGGATCTCTGCTCTTGTTTCTTCTGGTGCTCAGACCTTCAGTACAATTCCTACCCTCCTTCCCTATGTTCTTCTCTCCACATCTCAACCTTATTTCTGGCACAATACTGCTTATCTGCATAGCTCTTCTTCACACCCAGGAAATGCTCTTGGATCTTTAAGTCTATCCTGCCCTAAGCCAACAGCACCTTTGCATACTGCACCAAAAATGTGAAATATGAATAAGCTTTATAAATTATTTCATCTGTATATGTTCATAGTGCCAGGTGCAGTGATTTATCTGCCTATTAGTTTTTCTTGATACCTGTTGGCCAAATTAAGATTATATACTGATAGCTCAGTATCAAGTAAGACAGGAAATGGACTAATATGAGGCAGGATAAGATAAGATGGGACATGGAATAATAGAGTTTGACAGGGTAAAATGATGATTATACCTTCAGATACCCATCAAATTAAGCCCTTAAAAAGTAAAGCATGAAATCCAGAATTCACAAGAATGCTTTTGTATACATGCATACCTTACACAAGCACAAGATTCAAACTACTGCAACCTGTATTTGAGCAGGACTGAGCCGTTGTATTCTGGTGAGCCCTGATAAGCTAAAACTGTTATACATTAATAGGACTGCACGTTTGTGTCCCCCCTCCTTTTTTTTTTTTTTTTTTTTTTTTTTAAGAGAAACACAGTCTTAACACATTTTTTTAAAAAGGTTAGTAGTCTCAATTCCACTTTTTTATTCTTGGCCCTTGCCCCCACTTTTTTTTTTTCCCCAAGTATCACATGTATTTGAATATTAATAGTAATTTATAGCCAACCAGCACATCCCTGCAGCCTTAGCTACTGATTCTGAAGCAAACATGACTACTCTGTTTTAAGGCTTACCCTTACATAAAAGCATGTCCTTTTGAGTGGCCTTCCTGGGTATTGTTACAAAACTTAAGAGTCCTACTGGATCATGCATTACACAAGAAGGCAGCTCAGATCCATCAGATACAAATCTTCCCTCAAGTACTTCAGCCACTAAATTATGCACTACTTTGACCTCTTTCTCTTAGTTTTGACAAGAAAAATTTGGTTTTGTTATAACAGCACGTAGAAGTCTCTCAACAAGTTCTAATTATGAGTGGTCAGGCAATGACATACCAGCACAACAAAAGCAAGTATTTAAATAGAACATGAAGTTCTAATCAGCTATTTGAAGTTCAGTTCTTATTTGGGTTGACAAGTGAAGGCAAATTGACTTGACAATAGAGAAATGAGCTGATCAATCCAGATTACAACTAGTTCAACTAGTTTTTGTCTTAGAAAGCACATAGCCTAATACTGTTAATTTTAAATCACTAGTTTGAAAAGCTTGTAATAAATAGGTAAAATGACAGGAAGCTTGTGCAAACATCTTCAGAAGCACCGTTTGCCAGATAACTTCAAAAAACATGACACATTATATTAATCTTATTGCAGAAATGTTTCTGCATTGACATACCAGTTACAGCAGAAGGCCAAAACTTAGGAGCGCAGTATATATTCTCTTTCTTGAGAAAGCACTGGCAGCATACACAATACATAGAAGATGAACTTCTTACTGGAGAGGACATGCACATGTAGCAAACTCATTCATTCATCTCAGGTTAAAAGTAGTCCTTTAACTACCAAATACTTTATGCTCCTTTCCACACATTTCTCTCTCCACAGAGACTATATATAAGCAAGGCACACTTAAAGGTACAATATGGTCTTGTATCCACAAGTTGCTTTCTGCTCTTAGCCTGTTTCTTTTCCTGGGTTGCCACTGGTTTTCCTCCTTAGCTTTTTCTTCACTTTGTGTTGTATAACATTTCTCTACTACTGGTATTCAAAGTCTTCTCTCCTTCCATTCTAGCTATGCCATTTTTCATTTGAACTGTGTCGATTACTTGCTCTTGCTTTTTGCATTCAGTTTGAATACTCGATTCTCATCTTGGGCCTTCCATCTCTATATCCCTGTATAGAGTGGTCTGTGATGCTTTCTTCCAACTTCTTTCTCGACCACTTAGTCCAAGCATCCTTCCCAAACGTATCCTTGCCTTACCCTTGTCTTCATTTTCTCTGTAAAGCTGCAGCTTCTTTTCAGAACTCCCTGCCCTTCCTGTGTGCCAAACAAGTTTCATGACATCATTCAAATACTTCTTTACAGCTCTACTTCTGGGAGATTTTTCAGGAAGATCAACTGGCTGATTCCCAAGCCCATGAAGCTCAGTACAAGTGGTGTGTTTATTTCAGTGGACCTTTGATCAAGCTACAGCCCAGAAATCAAACAAGCTCCCATTGAATGATGGGTGCAAAACTGCAATGATCTTAAACTCTGTGCAAAGAGAAAAAGTAGCAAAGATGTCTCCCTACATTTCAGGACCAGCTACTAATCTCTGTATGAAGCTTTAATGTAAAAACAGCCCTGGGACCCAAGAGGACAAGGCACCAACAGACTGAGGTATCCATATCACCTCCAGTGTGCCTGGAAGTACTGCACTTCTGTCCCTTGATGAAAGGCTTCTTGTGGATAAAGGAGTCTGTTTTCAGGATAGGCTCACCTGCTGCAAGCATATACTTCCCATTTACTTCTCAAGGCCTGTAAGAAACTCTTATTTTACGTTTTGGAAAATGGTGCTTTTTACATCTCCTGCACAAGGGATGGGAACATTCAGCTAGTTTGTGTTCATTTGCAGGCTTAAACTCTTTATTGTAATCAGGCTACCAGAAAACTGATGGGTAGAAGTCTGCATAGAGGACAGAGAAAAATAACCCAATATCTGGAAAAGAAAAAAAAAAAAAAAAAAGTGAAACACACTCTCTGGGGAAGATTCCCCCTTGCATAAGGCACAAATTCTGCATACTAAAAAGTTATTTATTTATTTAGCAGACAGGTCCAAGAAAGTGCTTCATTTTGTTTTCCTCCATGTGGAGGATCCCTTTCCCAGACAGCATCTGTACTTGGTTCACATTTGGACAATCCCAAGAATGTTAATGTTCAGTTCATTATAATATCTGGTAGCCAAACTTCCCAGTGGTTTCCACACCTACTGTTTCATTTCTTGTCAACAGGATGCTAGATGCTTCATTTAATTACTGTTTATTTCTTTGCTGAGCCAAGACAACTGGGAGAGTGAACTGGATTTTACCCTGGCTTATACACTATCAGTAAAATTATTAATTAAATAGCAACAAAAGAATGGTTATTACTCAGGAAGTTGCAAACATGACCAAGAATGGAGTATGATTTAAGCTTTCATTGTGTGCATTTTGGGGGGGGGGGGAAAGGAAAAGACAAGTAAATTGAGTAACTTTGCTGTAAAGACAATTCAAAAAGTAAACTCAGCTATCAGTTTTAGAGCCTTTTTTCCCTTCAGAGCATAGCTGCACTTCATAAAGAAATTTTTAAAGTGCTTAAATAATATTATCCTTAGCTCCTGAACCAATAAAAACTTTTTAAAACCTCAAGTTCAGTTAGCTAGTTACTTTATTTCTCCCTGCTTGGTTGGCTAGTACTGTTGAACTGCAGAATTAGGAAGCTGATACATTTTAAATGTGTCATTATCAGAGGCAAGATCTACACAAGAGTTATACATTCTTGCCATACGTTATTTATGTACCTAGTCAGGTAACAGCTTGAAAGAAACAGACACTAGTATCAGACAAATAAACACGCAGCTCCTGAGGAAGAATGGCCTGTGCAGGGCCTGCACGTTTGATAGCAGTCCTCCGACTCATTAATGGGGCATGCTGACAGATTCCAGTGGGATTGCTGCTCATCTCTTGTTAGAGCTAATGCCTGAGCTTAGGTGGCAGGATATCCCGCTGGGTTTTATTTTTAAGTTTGCAAACATTATCCCACACAGACTTATTTGGCAAACAGTTGTATTACAAATGCCTGTGGGATCTCAGTGTGACTCTGTCTCTGTCAGACCAGGCACAGCCAGCTCAGCAGCAGGAGCTCAAGCAGAGCTAGGAAGCAGCTGACTGACTGTTCAGGACCCACGTGGGCTTTGGGGGAGATTTTATTCTATAGGTTAGATGGGGGCAGAGAGGGTAGTTAGGTAAGCACGTACTCAGGTACGCCTGGTTAACTATGGATGGATAGTATCTTGCCTCTGTACAAGGCACCAGTGCTTGCCTCCCATCTGAAGGGGCCTTAAAATTCCCCAGTCTAAGGGGTATAGGCAGTATCTTTGTGATTTTCAAAGTTTAGGCTCTGGGCCTTGAGAAACTGCCTACCGCAATGGGAAGACAGCTGTCAAAAGTATGGGTCCCAAATAAAGCAGCAGTTGTATTTAATTTGGATGACAGGAAGTTCTTTCTTCAAGACATAAGTATTTTTTAATATCAGAAATCCAGTTGTGATGGACACAAAAATCATGCCTGTTTGCCAAACAATGAGTAATCGCAGTAAGCATTTGAAATTAACATAAATATGATTTATGAAGTAGTGGTTTGAACTTTTAGATGCGCCACACACTGTCTGAAGGTGACACAGAGTTGAAA